TTGTACGACATAAAATACGTCGGTAAATACCCCACTGGTCGATTTAGTTTCTAAATGAGACGACTAAACGTCATCACGCCCAACATTAGCCGCCTTTAGCTTAGCGGTGCTGATGTGAAGTCATGTGAAGACTTTTCTTTTTGTGGCTGCTTTTAATTGAACTATTCATATCTTAGACTGCACTGTAACTTTTATCCATGTATTCTTTTTGCTTTTAATGTTTATTTTATTAACTTTTCTTTTTAATGACTGATTTTAAATGCCATTTTCTTAATGTCTTTCATTTTTTGTAAAGCACTTTGAATTGCCTTGTGTTGAAAGCTATATAAATAAACTTGCCTTGCGACCTTACTGTAGTTCCTTTATAGCCCAACATTAGCCACCTTTAGCTTAGCGGTGGTGACGTGAAGTCATGTGACCGTGCTGTAGTTCCTTTATAGCCCAACATTAGCCACCTTTAGCTTGGCGGTAGTGACGTGAAGTCATGTGACCGTGCTGTAGTTCCTTTATAGCCCAACATTAGCCACCTTTAGCTTAGCGGTGGTGACGTGAAGTCATGCTACCGTGCTGTAGTTCCTTTATAGCCCAACATTAGCCGCCTTTAGCTTAGCGGTGGTGACGTGAAGTCATGTGACCGTGCTGTAGTTCCTTTATAGCCCAACATTAGCCACCTTTAGCTTAGCGGTGGTGTCGTGACCGTGCTGTAGTTCAGAAATCATTAAGTGGTGTTAATGTGTGACATAATCCAAAATCACATGGAGAAAATCCCATTGGACCAGGGAGATGTTGCCTTCAGGGTCCAACAGAGAAATGCAACATCCCTGCAACACTCTAAAGCAGTAGTTCTATAAGATGTCGATGATTCGTTCATCCCTAACCCCAGTGTCTCTCCGTCCTCAGCTGCAGCACCTGGTGAGCGACGAGGTGTGTCTGCAGGTGGTGGATGTTTACCTGGCNCTGTAGTTCCTTTATAGCCCAACATTAGCAGCCTTTAGCTTAGCGGTGGTGAAGTCATGTGACCGTGCTGTAGTTGTAGCCCAACATTAGCAATTGCAATAATCCAAAAGGGTTTTTTAAGTGGAAATACATCTTCCCAGCACCCCTTTATTAAAGTAACCCCCCCTCTTACCTTTATGAGGTGTCAGACCTCTGGTGTTCTCAGCAGGCTCTGATCCACTCTGAGTCCCCGGGCAGGTGGAGGTGTGTTCGTTCAGCAGCTTCAGAGTGACGTAGCGTCCGCAGTCCCTGCAGAGCTCTGTTCGACTCCCACACACCACAGAGTGATCCTGCAGGTCCTTCAAAGGAAGCTCCAGATCACAGAAGAGACAGACCTGCAGACGCTGCTCACACTCAGCAGACTGAGAGACAGAGAACAGCTGATCAGAGGAGGGAAGGTCCTGGGCAATTATTCAGGATATTTTATTATTTAAAGTAAAACTGTGCCATGAAAAGTAGAAGTACTCAGATCTTGAACCATGCCTCACCTCATGATCCAACAGCTGACATCGCTCCATCTTCTGGTGACACCTGGAGCATCTCACCTGCAGACAAACAGCTGTAAACCCACGTGTAAGTATGTGTGTGTGTGTGTGTGTGTGTGTGTGTGTGTGTGTGTGTGTGTGTGTACTAATTACACAACAGTATCGTTTTCGTCTATTTTTTATTTCCCTATCCTTCTTCTTTTGTCAGTTTTATAATTCTATTTCACTTCATAACTCCATATATTGCAGGGAACAAAAAGCTCTATCATTATACATATTTTCCGTGATGGAGCTCTTGAACAGTTTCTCCTTCTCCGTCGTGTCCTCTTGTTCCAGCTGGAGATATTGTTTGTTATATCAAAAAACAAAACCTGCCTTGTAGCTTTAATGTGAAGCATGGGGTGTAACGATAAGATGATAATATGACAAAGCTCCCCCTCAAACACTGCACTCGTTAAAAGAACAACAGGAATGGAAAAAAAATGCAATACCATTTATTCCCAAGCTCTCAGAGTTGGTTGGCACTCTCGTGATTGAGGCTGGGCTCTGTTTAATTAATTTCAGGCTTGATGGAATGAGTGGGGCTTATGCCTCTGGCACCGGGCTGACACACCGGCCCTTTAAGCCTCAAACTCATTGCCATAATGTGCTGGAGGAAAACCCTGCAGAGAGGAGGAACCCGCAGGCCCTCGATCTTATCACTGCCACGGCCACTCCTTCTTGATTTAGACCCCGTAAGGCGACACCGGTCTGTGGAGATGGGACTGTGGGTGTCTATGTTTTGTCATTGATTAATATGCAAAGTGTCAATTGATCTATACATGCACACAAAAAACACAGACACACACCTCTGGTTTGACTCTTCCTCACAAGTCCTCATCATTCCATGAAGTCATGAAAACCCATGAGCCTGATCTTACAGAAGATGTATCTGAAGTAAGGGAACTATGGTTCATATCCCAGAGGTTTATGAATGTTCTGAACCTAAATGATACATCTTCACTTTTATTTTCAGCAGTAGTGATCTGACAAAAAAGTATAATTTCTAAATATATGCATCCCATAAGAACCAGACAAAAACAATGAATCGTATAACATACTATCAATACATCAACATTGTCTTACATACCTGCTACACACAATATGAGAGCGTCATGCATCATGGCCAAAATAAACAACATGATCCTGAAACATATAGAGAATTCAGAAAAATAAAATAAATACAAAACATTGTTCAACTTTTGTTGTTTTGTGTTTTGTCGGTTAATCTATCTGTCACATTTTAAATGATCAAGGAATTATTTGTTTGATATTTGCTTTGATTAAAGATCCTGGCATTAATAGTTTTAATGAAATGAATTATAAACTGATAGAGCTGTTAGGAAGGTAAACAGGTCATACATTCCTCTCTAATATCTATGTTATAGAGCTGTGAAAACATCGCCGTTAAACTACTGGATTTACAGTATTTAATTTTCTCAGGAAAAACAACAATTTACAAGATTACATTTCAAAACATCATGATGATCATAAGCACTTTTGTATTCCTTTGCCTAATATTCCTTTTTGCTGACTACAGCTTGAAAGCATCATAATGAAGTCAATGAAACCTCTGTTAACGTTTGCCGTTAGCCATTAGCTCTTAGCTCTGGTATGAGCTTTTAGCTAATTTCCATCCGTAGTCCCTCAGTGGATAGTCCGGATTTCAAGCTCTACTTTAATAGTTGATCTCTAGATTTCATGAGATTCCTGCAGTGTTGATTCAGATTCAGTGACATAGCTTAGTTGAAACACCCAAATATCTGTGCAATCTTCATTGCCTTAATACTTTCCAAAATAATTTACAATACCACTGTCATGGCAAGTGATTTCACTCCCGAGAACAACTTATTTCGCAAATGACAATACAGTTTACACAGATAGAAGCAAGTTCAAGCTCAAAAGATGTTGTGAAATCTAAATATGGTGGAAAGTTCCAGGTCAAAACGTGTCAAAGAGATATGAGTGTGTGGACAGGCCATGTGTGTACAATACATTTCAGAAGTATCAAAGCAATACTGTGACATATTTTTCTTTTACCTTTAATGTGTCTTCATTTTACAGCTTCTTCTCACTCTGCATCACTGGCTTTTTGAGGGAAGCTGTTTGAACAAAATATGAATATGAAGCAGACGCTCCGTTTATTTAAAAGTGATAAAACGAGATGGACAGTTGTGGATGGCAGAAATGTGGAGAAAATAATATAAATATGCATTCCATTACATTTGGGAGAATTGAATTCAGGGCAAATAATTTGAGAGATGAGCCACCGCTGAAGCGATGGTCTTAATGGACAGGTGTCCACTTAAAATCTCTGGCAAAGCTAAGACTAATGGATTGCTTTATATGCAGCACATTCAGAGAATGGAAAAGGGATTGGGAGAGCTTAAGCGCTTGAAGCACCCTGCATGCACAGATCTCTGCATAAATACACTGCTTTAATTTCCACAACTCGTGCGTTTGTCGGATGTAACCTTTTTCCAGCAATGTTTCAGGACAATGAAAATGAACCTGACTGTCACACAGACCAGAGGAAAACCAACTTTGGCATGATGAAGACCAGTACATGTGATCTATTAAATGGGTTTTCAATGTTTTTGTTTATTTTTCCCTGCTGAATTAATACCAAACTGTTGCCTGGTTGCATTGTGAAGGCCTATGTTTGTACCTTGCTGTACATGATGCTCACGACGCTAGATACTCGAATATTACATACACAAGGATCTCTTGAAAAACCTAAAGGACAATATCAGTGTTTCAAATGTTAATTTACTTATTTTTTTAAATAACTACTGGCAAATTCATTTCAGTCTTTCAAATATTTTCCACACTTACCATACCACTGTTGTCTACTGGATTCCAGGTAGTATGTAAAATATAATAAGGCAGTGCTAATCTTACTAAAAGATAAAACCTAAACACAAAAATGCACCATACATTTAAGTGTCAGATTCACTGCCAGAATAATATAACGGCTTGAAAGTAAATCTTATTCTTCCACATTTTACTGTTAAGAGAATATGAATAATGGAAATATTCCATAATGTATCTGCTATAATCGGGAAGCCATAGCGTTCTAGAGGACCATAAGTAACGATATGCCTCTCCACACTGCCCTTACCTACAGTGCAGAGAGCATGTCTGCACTCCAGCCCGCTGTTGCAGGGACACACACACTATAGGATCAAGTAGCAGCTTTATTGGGTCTCTTCTCACTCTCATAATGTCAGTTGCAGGTCTGAGGAGGGGGGCTGATGATCTGAATCAGTAGTCCTCTGAGCAGTCCCCATATAACTGACTTGACATACCCTTCACAGCGTGCTCACACCTGCAGTATGTAGCTATGCACGGATATGGAGGCAGGCTGCTAACTGCTACGACTGCTTCTCCAACGCTTCTCACCTGTATGACTATGTATAGCACTGGCACATATAAAAAAACATCTCACTACCCATGTACTAAATATACATTTTATTACAACCACCAACATTAAATTCAATTAAATCAAGTTATCTCATGGTGTCATCTAGTGGTCATGATGTCTAACTGCAAAAAAATGTAATTTAAATAGAGTTAAAGAGTTGGTAACTAAAGTGAAGAAGGGTAAAAAGTTCAGTTATCATGCTCCACCTCCTGACCCTGTGTTACTGCATGCTGAGTGGTGCCACTTCCTGTCTGTGCAGTGTGCAGCCTTGTGCAAGTGGAGGCATGACACATGCAACAAAACTTAAATAAATCGATATCAGTTCAGCTTTAAAAGTGATGGATGAGGCAAATGGTTTCAAGAGGTTTTATTGTCATCTGCACAGTAGCTACAGGGCAATGAAATCTTAAGTCCCAAGCTCCTCCAACAATGCAACATATTATAGGACATAAGACAACATAGTGCCACATGCTGCTCTTATGTCACTCAACCGGCATATCTTTGATATACTTAAAAAGAATAAACTTCTTACGATGTTTATTGTGTCTATGTTGCGAGTGATTTCCCATTTTAAATAATACTGTAGCAATAAATATAACAGGGACTATAGGAGGATGACATATTTTCAACCTACTGTAGCTTCTTATCTTTCTGATAATGTATGTGTGTTCTAAAAGTAGGTTCTAAATCATTGTTAACGACCAAATACCCGCTATAAAAATGTTTTTCCCCCAGACATTGTGTTTAGTGCTTTTATGTTATAATGGTTAACATGGTTAATTTGTACCTGATAAACATTTGCGTTTGCATTGTTGATGTGAACATGTTAGCATGCTGATTTAACTATAATCACCACTGCAGCTAAAGACTCAAAGCACTGCTAGCATGGGATCTTAATGTTGTTGTTTTTTTGTTTTTAAGGTTGAAAACGGGGTTGCCCCAAATTGTTGACTACTAAATTCTAAGGAGCCTAATTTGACTGTCGATCTCAAATCTGGTGCATGGAAATGTGGGGGTTATGAAACAGAGGATTACTGTATTTGTGCCATACTGTATGTCTGATTTTACATATAATTACTTTGTTTATCAATCATGACAATTCACCAATTTTGTATGTGACCTATGCATGAAACTGTTAATAAAAAGATTTAAAAAACGAATTTGCATGAAATCAACCTACTTAGTGTCCCTTAATAATTCACCATGTAAGACTTTTTTTTCTCTTTCAAGTCACCAAAAGCGAGCGGACTAAGAAACATGTTCTGTCTGTCAATGTCCTCATTCTGTTATAGTACTACAGACAGCACTTATACGAAACAAATAACAAAGAGCACAAATCAATGAGCAAAAATATCCAATTTTAATGTTTTATTTATTTAGATTATTAAGGTGCTATACTGATTTATATATGTTGTATGGGCTAAATATGTGTACATTTGTTGACATTTCTATACAGGTGTCATGTCAATAGTCACTATGTAATGGTGTTGGTTCTAAACATGCCTTTAATGACTCCTAATCCTAATAATGTCAAACAGTTATCACACACACACACACACACACACACACACACACACACACACACACACACACACACACACACACACACACACACACTGAAACTAAACTAAACTGTTAATTGGAAGGTAAGAACTAAGAGGCTTTCAAGTCCAGACGTTTATTTAATCCTCAGTGGTGTTAATTGTATCACAGATATTTCCTATTACCAGAGTTTTGTGTCATGTCAGCTGAGCCAATAACAATCATGCTTTCCACAGACACCTAATCACATCCTAACAACAGAAAGGCATTTTCTTCATGCAGAGACTCAATCGGAAAAGTCTAAGCCATGCACACAAACATCAATAGATGGTCACTAAACACCAATAGAAATATCAGGGAAACAGCAGGGAAGCTCTATTGTCATGACTGCAAATAAGTGAATATAATTTCCCTCCTGCAGTTGGCAAGGATAATGTTATTATATGTGAATCAATACTGTAGTGTGCTGCAGCAACAACAGAGATGCACATGGAAGCATTATCATAAGGAAAGCCCCTTGACCAATCTGATTAGCAGCCATTTGAGAGGGCTGTTCCCAGAAGGACCTGCTGTCACACTGACCCTGCTTAACCTCTTGATTTTCCGGGTTCAAGTCCAATTAACCTTTGGGTTGAAGCAAGAGTGTCACCAGCAGTGCAGTCGATAGAAGCCCAATAGTAATCATTTCATTTTCTGGTTCATCAAACAGGCCCGGGCCCCACCTCACTAATCTCAATCAAAGACACAGCCATTTATCATTGTAGACACTCAGGACTACAGTTTGACTACAGCAGCCTGGTTAGTCTGAGACGCCCATCTGTGCTGCTTTCACTCCACTGCTTTGACTTCCTATCAAGTGGTACGAGTCCTAAACCCGGAAATGTGTTTTTTCCAAGTTAATGTCTTTTTTTGGTGAGGATTTGGTCAAATGCCTGAAATAAGATCTGTGATTAGCACGTGCCTACAATATTTTCTCCTTTTTCTCGAGGAGATGAAATAAGTCAGTAAACACCCCATTGATGTATGTCTGAATAAAAATGTGACTAAATGAGACAAATAAACGTCATCAGGCCGAACATTAGCCGCCTCTAGCTTAGCGGTGGTGAGCTGAAGTCATGCAACCCTTGTGTAGTTATTTTATAGCCTAACGTTAGCTTTTAACTTCAGGTCATTGCAATAACGCTTCAATAAATAAAAGTTGTGTTAGATTATCCTTCTGAACAAAACGGAAAAGTATCATAAGATTGTGACTCCACCAGTGGTAGGCAACTATCACAATATCAGAATCACTGACTAACCTTTTAATATAGTTTTTCACTAACATTTTTTCTAATAGTCTATTCTCTTCATTTTATAGCTTTTCTCTGTGTTGCGCTAGGTTGCGCTGCGTCCAGTAATGGTTGTTACTGTTGGAGCTTTTAACCAATCATATTTAAGTCAGAATGTGTTGCTGGGTCAAATAAATCTGCATGAGGCCTTCAGAATCAACATTGTGGGCCATCTAGTTTAAAATAAATGTCAATGAAACTGTTGCATTGACCAATCAGATTTCGAGTTGGCGTCACCGGAGCCATCTAGCAGGTGTACGAGGACTTCAGCAGTTCATGTCCTTTGATTGGATTATCAGCGCTAGCAGACACTAGCATGTGTAGCGGTAGCTAGCGGTAGCTAGCAGTAGCGACTTGCTGGCACACAGCACCTGTAGCGTCCTTGTAAAAATATTTGTGTTTCGAATTTAAAGCTGTTTTTTCAACCCACAATTTCTCCTCCACTGACAGCGGTTTGGTAAAGTTAGAAAGCCTGTCGCAGCCGGGGAAATAATTCGTCACCTCTTTCAATTCACTAACTACAGCTATCTTGCCAGAAATACGACTGGACAAATTGGACTTTCAGAATTAGCCTCCATGGTGATAGAACAGATCTTATTATTGGAACTGAAAACTCAGATAATCTGTACGACAGAGTAACTGAACTCTTCTTGAGGAAAGAAAGGAGGACGGATTTTGTGTACAAATAATCAAACTTATTGGTGATTAAAGGCTATAGCCTAATGATTTTTATTTAAATGTTTAAAATTGTTTTAAGTAAATATTGATGCTTCTGCTGGAGATGATGTATGTTGTCAGCTGTGGCTTCGGTGAAAGGAGACTTGTTGAATTGTGTTATTTGGGTTTCTTGGTTTAGTAATGGCATTCATTCTCGCTACATTAGATACCTGTCTGTGAAGCAATGCCCTGTTATACTGATTTCTGTATAATAATAATGGTTTCTATATCAATGACGTCATAATAATGGTATTAAGAGGTGGATAATTCAGGTAGGACACTACTGAAGGCCTAGGTGTGAAATGCATGGCCCACTACTGCTTCCACCAAGCTAATGTTCTGTTATATTCCAAAATCCGATGGAAAATCTCATTTCTTCTAGATGATTGAGACCTTGGGATGCTAACTTCCGGGTGACCGGGTCGACCTACAAAAATACGTCATCACTAAACCACTGTATAGGAAGAGTAAGCACTGGAAGTAAGCACCATTTCAATGTGGGAAAGGTATCATATAGGTAAGGGTTTACAAACTGACAAATAACTATATAATACCTGTATCTCCAACTGGGGGGGCATTGTGTTATTGATAGGATTGTATGCCCTTGTAACATATTCCAGTCCACCTCTTCATACTTTGGGTATCACCTCCAGATTCAACGTGTGCCTC